ACCGGTACTAGTTTTATTTTGTTGTATTTATCCGCGACACCTTAAAGGCCGGTCCATGAAAATATTGTCGGGCATAAACCGGTCCGTGGCGCAAAAAAGGTTGGAGACCGCTGCTGTAAGCCTTAAAATGTAATTATCAGAAGCTCTGAATGTTGTAATTGAGGCTGCATCCAAATGATGGCATTACTGTGGAGAACAGTCACATCCTGGGGGCGGGTCTGCTCTCAAAGGTCAGCATTACCTGTAATTTACTACCATGTTGAATTAACCACAGACGGTCACAGCTGATGTTTCTGTTGTCTTCTGCGAATGGGGACTAACGACAGCCAATCAGGCAGCGAACCTGAGCATCAGCATCATTCCTAGGGAGTCTGAATTTCTACCAGTCCAACAATACTTGGAAAAAAACCTGAAAAAAATAAAAAAATTAAAAAAAAACAGGAGTTTTTAAGGAGTTTTTAAGGAGAATGTAGGTTTAAGTTTTTAAAAATAGTTTTGGAAAAACTTGGAGTAATTTGGAGCCATAATCCAGCCGCTGCCTGTGACGTTACAGTGCAAAGCAGGGAACTCCAGGCCTCGAGGGCCGGTGTCCTGCAGGTTTTAGATCCTTGATCCAACACAGCTGATTTAAAGGCTAAGTGACCTCTTCAACATGTCTCGAAGGTCTCCAGAGGCCTGGGAATGAACTAATCATTTGATTCAGTGTGTTGACTCAGGATGAGATCTAAAACCTGCAGGACGCCGGCCCTCGAGGCCTGGAGTTTGACACCCTGCTGTACAGTAATGCTTAAAGCGCTTCCTGTACCCATCGTTTGCACTGAACACAGACCATCTGTGGAAACTGTGGTTTTCCTGCACATGAAATGTCAGATGATCACCAGACTCATTAAGATGAATTTTATGGATAAATAACGTTTGAATCACATGTTCATTTGATCCATTCTGTAGTTAATGGGAAAACGCAGGATTAACATAGACTGTACATCAAAGACGGCTGTCGAGAGCAGGACGGTTACATTTTGAAGGCCCAGCATTGCTGCTTCAGCCATGCTGGCTTTTTTCACAGACAGAAATTACCATATGTAGACGAGCGGGTGGAGTGCCAGATAATTAGCCGGCTTGGTTAGCAAACTGCATTCATAGACTGTGTGGGCAGACGCGATACCTGCTAATTAGTGCTGAATAACATCCAATTAAAATCCTAGAATTTCACACATCAAAACTGGAGCACAGACTTCTTGGGTGGCATGTCAGTACGATTAACTGCACAGCAGGAAAATTATTGGTTAGATGATTGTATTACAAATGCTCCAAATACTCCAGAGGTCCAATTCAGGGACTGCAGTGAGGTGAAGCTTCACAGCTACAGTTACTTGTGCCATCCACCTGACGGTCACGTTAGTGAGATCCTTAAAAAATCATTTTATTTAATTGATTAAATTAACAAACATTTTTGTGTAAGTCTGTAAACATCTTATCTGTAAAGTTGGATATTTTAAACCGACTCGCTTTGAGACTGCCTCTAGTGGACGTTAGAGGAACTGCAGTTTGATACATTGTAACAAACTGCACTTCCTGTCCAAAGCATCATGTGTTCTCTGGTAAATGGCCTGTATTTGTATAGTGCCCTACTAGTCCCTAAGGACCCGAAAGCATCAAAGTCATCCACCCACTCACACACTGGTGTGTGACCACCACCAGTAGGCAACGGGTGAAGTGTTTTGTTCTGCTCGAACCTACAACCTTCCGATTACAAGGCGAACTCCCAACTCTTGAGCCACGATCGCCTCTGATACTAATAAAATAAGATATCTTGTCTTGAAGGATAACACGGGTTGGATCCACTTGGTGAAAGTGGGAAGGAAAAACTCTGTTTTAACAGGAAGAAACCAGGCTCAGAGAGGGGCAGCATCTGCTGGGACCGGTCAGGGGAGGAAGTTGTATCTACTTTATTGTATATGTGATTTAAATATGCTTTGGGGCTTTTTTCTTTTTTTTCTCTCCTTTCTCAGGTACGTCGGCGTGAGTCACCCAGTGTCTGTGCACCTTTACTTCCTGTCCGACCAGTACCAGGGCTACCTGGTCCATCACGTGGCTACCAACCAAGCCTCTAACCAGTTGGAAACCCTGGAGACCTGGGTAGCCGCCAAAGACCACTTCACCCTGACCAGCTCTCCACATGCCGCTAACAGGCTCCAACACATCCAGGTCAGACTTGAGTCTTTATCAGGGCTCTCTTAACTCAACATAAACCTTTACATCGTTCTGCAGTCACCGTTTTGGGTTTATTATTACCTCAGTTTACATGCCGTAATATATTCTCAGGTACAAAAATGTCCCAGGATGCTTTAATGTTTTGAATTTAAGTCTAAGAAATGATCGATCCCTGCAGGGAAGTAACAACAGACTAAAAGCAAATATTCAAAAATTAGAAAGCAGGTAAATAGAAAAACATGTAGGTGAAAATACAAAAATTTAGAGTGAATCTCCAATGTCACAGGATTACAGAGAAACGAAAGACAGCAGAGACGTGAACAAGAGCATCCCACACACGACCGATGTGACTGTGACGGTTGTACCACGCTGGGACTCCAACAGTTCAATATTTCTGCTGCAGAAACGTTCATGACCGGCTAGAACAGGTTAATTAAAACCAACGGTGAATGCTAACAGATCAGCCCCCTGCAGTGACGCTGACGTATTCTAGAGCAGCTTTCACACATTTTCAGCCAGTTTCAGGAGAAACCAGTTGGAATACTTTGTAAAGTTTTCCTTTGTCACGAGACAACAGTCAGAAGGAAGCGACATCACGTGTAACAGTGTGACGTAAAGTCTATAAAAACGAGTTCTTGGATAGAAAGAGGTCACTGATTGTGCGAGCTCGATCTCATCGGGCGGGTCAGTTCAAAGCCGGGGGCCAAAACCAGCCAGCTTTAGATTGGATCAGCCACGAGGGACCAGCCTGGAGCTCGGAGGCCCAGGAGTCGACACTTCTGCGGTGTAGCTTGGGGCCAGACACGACATGCTTTAAAAGTGATCAGTAAAATATTAAAGTGAACTCTAAAAAT